ATGAACTTAAGAGGTAAGACTAAAATAAATATAAATAATAATAATATAATAACAGTAATAACAGTTATAATAATTACAAGAATATTTAATATGATTTTGTCATCATCATCTAGGCGACAGGACTCCCTACTTTTCTTCAGTTTTATTTTTGTCGATCTGTAATTTTATGGTAGAATTTTTGTTCCTAAATAAAATCGCATCTCGTTTCGTTTCGTTGTTATTATTTTGGGTTAGTTAATTGATAATGATAGCAATCTAATGATGTCATTATATGGTGAAAATGATGACGAAATTTGGTCCAATAACAGATTATCAGCCACTGAATCGAGGAGGAGTCAGAACTTTGAAGGGTGGTTCAATTGTTACTCAGTTGTCTTTTTAATGATCATCTAGTTAAAAATTAATAATGTTTTCATTAATATATGTTAATATAGTTGGTAGTTTTAGAAATAATAAATTAAGCCGTATCGACGTTTACAAACGCTTAATTTGAAAATTGGTACTAAAGTATTCAATGGGTTGACGAAATTTGAATCCAATACAACAAGGCGACATTATATTATTTAAAATGTCATCATAATTACGAACGCAATAATAAAAGTATTATAAATACATCAGTGCAAGAAATTTATGTTCAATTTGAAAATATGATGACTGAATGTACATACGAAATATTTAATGGCTAATTATTAATTTACTTTTTTTTATTTATTGTTTTAATTTTTTTTTTCTAAGGCCGGACGAACATTACCTGATATCTCAATACTGCAAGTGCCTCCAAGAACACAGCGCAGTCAATAACGTGAGATGAAATTTAAAAAAATTGCATTTATTTTTTAAATTTTTCTTCCAATCATTTATCCATTCATTCACTCTGTCATTAATTCATCAACTCATTTATACATTCATACACTCTTTTATTCGTCTACTCGTTTTTGCACGCGTCTAGAGATATGTCATTTTCCAAATTATCCAATTTGATGGATAATCATAAGTCTCAAAAAGACACACACTTTTAAATTCATCGAAAGAAGCAGCTACTGATAACGATTACAAAGGTAAAGTGACGTGAACATTAACTCATTGTTTGATTCTCGTCATTCAGTGTTTTCTGGTTATAACAGTTGTGCGATATAAGGCGTAAGATTTTCAGATTATAACAAAGATGATAACGATATCAAAATTAATTTTATAACTTATTTGAAACTCCTGGTAAAGCTACAAAGTCCGATGCAGATAATGATGAGCATGGAATGGGAGCAGAAGAACCAACTGGAGAACTCCATCAAATGTTTGGAAGAAGAGAATAGGTGAGTGAACGCTAATAGTGATGGTGATTATGTTGGGGAGGGTGATTTTTATTGTGGTTGTGTTTAAGATGTCTCAGAACGTGCATAGATTTTAGTTTACTCAATTTTTAGGAGTGCGTAAGCATAAAACAAAGCTGAATTTATGGTCGGTCGTTTAAAAATTTATGTCAAATGATTAACCAACAGACTGCTGACGAAAGAATACAACGAACTGAAGAGAGCTAGGAAACAAAGTGAGACGAAATCGTCCTTGAAGAACGAATCCAACGTGAAAAACAAAAAGACTGAACATGAGGACATCCACCAAAAGCGGTAGCTGAGTGGAATTTTTTGTGAAATTATTAGCCTATATACCTACATCCGTCATGAAAAAATTACAATTCATTAACAGCAGCTAATAAACAAGTACACATTACAATCAGTTTTTATTAATTTAAAATTTAATGTCTACACACAGCCAAAAAGAGAAATTAGATGATCGAATGAAGGCCATTGAGCAGCATAATTCGAAACTGGAATGCCAACTGAAGAAGTTGAAAAGACTGTTGACCGAACAAGTCAGTTGATTAACTTAATCGAATACAATAGTCACTGAATACTGAATTAACGTAACGGTTGACCGTTTGACTGAATCATTAACCAAATATATATTTTTTAATAGTAGTAATTATAATCTCTCATGACCTATGTAGCCAGCTAGTCCTAAAAAATTTTTCAAAATAAAATGTAAAAAAATGAACACAAAACTTCAGTTGGGTCAGAATACTCCACGAATTGTTTCCTATTCGACATGTGACAACCTAAACCGACATGTGCCTTCATTGACATCACTATCTTCCATTTGTCCTCCAAGCTTTCAATCCGTGACTAAAAGTTCTCCGAAAGGTTGGGAAGTCGTGTCGACTGAAAATTTATTTGGATGACTGGTTAACCAATTCAAATACATACATGTTTAGACAAGTGAACTTTTTATCTAATACTTATTCATCAAATGTTACCAAATTCCAGAAGCTGATCCACACACGAAACCAACTCACCCGGACAAAGAAAAATCGCCGACCGCAAAAATCATCAACTCCGTTACCCCTGCCACTCTAAGTTCAACAAACGTCAAAGATTGTTCAACTACTGAAAATAAAAATGTTACTGCAGACAGAGAAACTCTACCAAGGAGCAGAAAGGAAGATAAGTTTACCCACGTCTTTAAAAGACACGCTAAGAAGCGCACAAATTAACAGTTCTCGAAACGTTACTCGCTGCTGAATTTTATGTTCCTTAATTGGTTTTGTCAAATCTAAGGAATATCTTTAACGAAAATTTTATTTTATAGTTTTATTTAACGAAAGACCCATTTAATTATATTTGTCGTTCAATTTTGCAGATGTTACGTTTCATTGTTTTCCTATGACAAAATATTTAAAACATCATTTATTTTAAAACGATTACGCCGATTGATATTGTTTAGTCTTCCAGTCATCTGCATTGTTTTCTATCTTCTTACAACTAAATATTTTCATTAATAAAAAAAATCTTGGCAGAAGAAACGCGTGATTTCATTATCGAATTACCAAAATATTATACTCCAAATCAACTGCACGAAAAAAAACTCAACGAACATGTATATATATATATATATATATATATATATATATATATATTATATATACGTTATAAGCTGCCAACGTTGGATTCATTGCACGATGATGCACCAACAAATATTAATTATTAATGCATACCTACATTGCAACAAAAGCTATAGAACAAGCTTGAACAGTGTGATGTCAAATATAATTATTTATATTAGTAGTAGTAACAACCTAACGTGTTAAAATTTATTAAATTTTTATATTTAAAACATTAAACTGACTAAAAAGGAGCTGAAATGAACAATTTTTAATCAAAAATGATTATAAATACAATGGTAATGCGCAGCCTATAAATTCACAAACGAATAAGATAACGAGAAATGCGGATTGTTTGACTGTTTCAAGTTGGTTCAACTATCTATCTAACTATCTAACTCTCGACATTGCCTTCACTCATTTGTTTACTCATCTATTTTTAATACGTTTTAAATTTCTGCAACAAAAATCGAACTTTGAAGTAATTTCAGACATTTTAATAAAATAAAAACTAAACTAAATAATCATATTATGTAGCAGTCGATGATTATTTATATAAACTCAACAAAATAGTTCTGATAACAGTTTGTAAACATTAAAAAATTAACAATGTGCGTTTAATGATGCGGCCTGCGTGAAAAAAAAAACCGTCAAACCAGCTTTACAGATAGGCGTAACCAACTTACTGCCCCACCATCTAACTGGAAAGGGTTTCCTTATCGAACATGTACTCTCCAAGTCCCGGTCCCACTCTCTTCAGGTTAGTCACGTAATCAGAGAGCAACTTGATAGACTCGACCTGCTCGTCCAAGAAATGTTCTTCCAACCAATCTGACAGCTACGTGCATGTGTGCAATTATAAAATAGGAATATAATAACTAAAAAAATTAGAGCGATAGAAACGCAAATGAAAACAACTAACATTGTGCTTATAACATTCACAATCCTTTCGTTCTGAGAACGGATATATATCGGCAGTGATACTACACTAAGATGCTAACAATACAAACTGTTGTAGTGAAAGTATCTTTAAACTACCAAACTCAAAAACTGAATTAACCAATGAAAGTCGTGAAATAACATTAAATAAAGTTTGCAAACAGTTATTCTCACAGTTATTTATTCAGTTTTATCAGTTGAAAAAATATTTAATACAGCAGTCTTTCAAAAAGACACCAAATCAATGCAACCAGCTGTTGATCACAACTTAACTGAGCTACAGAAACATACATTCTGACAAACAAAGCATTTGCATACGTTGCAATTCTATAAGCAACCTTAAAACTTAGCACACAACCAAACGCAGCAACACATGACACAGCAGACCGCACAACATACATGTGGATCCTCCTTGCCAGCTGCCATCTTATGCAAATCCAGCAAACTCTGGTTGACAGTTTTTTCCATCTCCAAAGCAGCCATCATAGCTTCCAGACCGGATGACCAACTATCTTGGATTGGTTTCTAGGAGGGTTCATAATTTTAAGTTTATTAACTACTATGGTAAGATGGTGAAATGGTTAAAGATGCCTGTTCCTGTGCTACATTGAATGGGTTAAAATTTAAAGGCATCAGCATTTCTAAAGCTAAGGTGTATGATGCTCTAAATTCTGATTGCTGACTTCTTATTAATGAAATGAGCGTTAATATAGGAATGATAATAATTTTATAATGCATTAATATATAAATTAAATCCATAGAATATAAGTAACCATTGCAATTGTTGATTCTCTTTTGCAATGCCAAAAATATGATTAACTAATGCATCATAATGATAGTTTAAATAAAACGCATTATTAATCATAACGTGTACACATGCACTGGAGTACACACACATAGACACACACAAAGAGACGCACACACATGAGTAAACAACAGCACAGCAGTCAGTCAGCATTAGTGATCATTCAAAGCTGAAACAATTCAGTACTCTGTCATACATCTCATCAACAAGTAACTAAATTAACTCAAAATACTTGATTGTATATTTTTTGAACATCTATTAAAATGATTACACCTATTTGTGTACATTAAAAAATGGAAAGGCAATATTTGGTGATGCAACAAAAATTGAGCAGCATACCATATCACATCTAACTTATAATTGATGATGAAAAACACAAAAATTTTTGGGATTTATGGAAGAAATGGTGATGATATATCTTTAAAATATTATGCAATGTTAACTGTTAGGTGATATATAAATATTTGTATAAAAAGCCATAAAAAGATTGCAAAGTTTCATATAAAATATGTAAAAAAAAGTAACTAAAGATATTTTTATGGACCACCAACCTATATAACAAAAATTACTGAAATGTGTAACAAAAATTTGCATGTGTAAATCAACCAAAAAAAATTTTCACTTTATTTATAAACAACAAACTTTATTTAAGACAAAAAGCTTCACTTTAGCTTCACCACATTTTAAATATTAAACATCACTTTAACCAAACTTCGTCTAAATTGAAACAGCCAACTTCTCTTACATCAATGTTCTGCAAAACAATCTTGCCCCCTCTCATGTTCTGGTACTTCATGATCTTCTCTGCGTGCTCACGTTCCTCATCTGACTGCTTCTTAAAAAATTTGTAGAAGCCATGGAGGGCTACATCATCTCTTTGGAAGTGGAAAGCCTGCGTTGTATTTGTGAAAAATTAATATTTTAAAAATGATAGAAATATTTTTTCACTTTATATATGATAATAAAAGGTTGATAAATGAACTCAATAATATAAATTATAGAATAATGATAGATAAACATATTTAAAAAATGTTTTTCTGGTCTGTTTGAACATAATACAGTGTACAACACCAATACATTTATGTTGCTTGCAACTAATTATTTAAACACTCAAAGTTATAAAGTTTTAATACTTTTTTAATGGTAAACTACAATAATATATCTTTTTAACTTTTAATTAATTTAATTATTTAATCAGATAAGGCAATAAATAAGGCCATTGACTTCAATTACAACACTGATAACACTGACATTTAGATTTTTTTAATTTTTAATAATTATTGCAAATCTTTGAGTGTTTCATCTACTTACAACCATTTAATTTAATTTAATTTTAATTTTAAAACAACGCACTTTAGTTAATTTAAATTTTAACAAAAAATATAAAATAAACTGAAATGGAAATGAAATAAATAAAGAGAACCATAGCCTGGTAAACATAGCTGGCATGGAGTTCCATGTTGATCTGTTTGTTCAACAGTGCCTCACATTCAGAATGGAAATTCTGTCTTATTACGGACACCATTTTAATTAATTGGATTTAAAAAAATTAATTAAACGAACGAGAACGCTGGTATTGCAGCTACTGAAACGACAACAAAGAAGAAAAGGCCAGATATGATAATTTGATCTCAACCTGAATGTAGCAGCATAAATATATTGCGCAGTGGCTATTTTACATATGTATGTATATTGTATGTTTTGTTGTATGTTTGTCAATAGTATGTATGTTGTATATGTTTTCTTTGTATATATGTGTATAAAAACACTGAATGTGAGTATGTATCCATCTATAAATCATTATCATGTATTGATTATAACCTAGATTGATATAGAAGTGAAGTGTGATATATAGTGTAATATACATAAGCTTAGTTGCATCTATATTATATTATATTATGGCTATAAAAGTTAAGTGTGGTGTAATACACTGTTACATAAGCTTATTTGCATACCTAACCTGTTGAACATTGAAATATAGCCGAGTAAAATGTTAGATTGATAATAATGTGACACAGATTCAATGTTTTTATGTCACAGTTTGTTTGGAAGAAGACGCCTTTATTTTGAAAAACTCATCAATCAACAATTTTAATCAATTAATGGTACTGAGGTCATGAAGTACCAGAATTGTGAAATCATATTATGTAGATGAAATTTAGTATTTCTGTTTTATAGCGAGAGCTCTGAGCGCTGTAGCTGCGCAGCTCTGCTCAGCGCGGCACATTTTGACAAAGAAAATTTATTGAAGCTCGAAGAACGTTTTTTAGTATTGCATGCAATGTTAATTACAGATGTCGACAGTTTGTTCAACTGTTGACAAATAGGTAGGTAAATATATTAAGACGAACGCATTAGAAAATAGCTGTGAAAATTATCTTATTTTGACAAGCGCCGTCACATTTGTATCGCAAACAACCACATGTGGCCCGCGAGCAGTTCCACATTGAATTATAATATATATATAAAACCGCATACGATCATGGGGTAGCTAATAGAGCCCCAAGCAGAGAAGATTTTTCTAAACCGCAACCGCCCACATCCTTACTGCTCATTATCCTAAATAAGCCGTCTTAATCTCATGTTTAAAATTAGAAGATAGCAACACTAGAAGGCAATCTATTTACAATATAATTATAACTAGACTACAGATAATCTGCTACTTTCAATTTAAAAAACAGCCCAGCCCACCACAGCCCACCTCTCATCATTCTGTAGACAAGTTTTTTTTATTAGCGTAGTCGTAAATCAAGGAACATAGGAACGAACGAATAAATAATTAACTGTGATTGAATGATCAGTTGAATGAATGAGTGAATGAATTAATCAATCAATGATTCAACGAATGAATAGAATGAATTAACGAAACTATTAACGTAAGAATAATTTAAGATTGAGTGATAAGATGAACGAACGAATGAGAATAAAAAAACGAAACTAAACCTTTACTTCAAAAATCGTCGTTACTGTACTCTCCATTGCACCGACCATTACTATCTGGTCGGCACACAAGATGTCATCCGAACTTCAGTGTCAGTCGAACAGCCAACGAGCTGATTCTTCCTACACCACAATCATCGTACGTAAATCGTCATGAAACCACCATCTGAAACGTGCTGACTCCAACCACTGCCCCCTCTCATCATTCTGTAGACAAATTTTTTTTATTAGCGTAGTAGTAAATGAATGTTAGAAGCAAAAATTATAAAATGAAAATAATGGCAATAAATAATATTTTAAAATAATAAAGAAAATAAAATGTAAAAAATACGTTGTCCTCCAAAACTAGTGCCAGTCCTCCTCGAGATTGTTGTTGAAACCATATAATTAGAACAGCCCGTGTTGAGGAAGAAAAATAAAGAGAAGATTCTCATCAGAAAGCTTAGCGGTGCCTGCATCTCAAATTGCTTAATAAAAATAATCCTATCTACCTATTCAATTACCTTAGCTAATCTATTTTAAATTATTAATGGTACGATAGTCGAAAGTCCCCCTTCATTCTCCCTCCTTGCACAGAGGTTCACCGACAGCCAGGGCACCGGATAGTAAACCATTGCCGTGCGGATAGAAAATTTAGCACACGAAATTAAGAAAAATTAGTAAATGACTTGACAACTATACTCTACTTGAAGGTATGTCTATCTATAAAACCATTCCAAATGGTGACACTTCGTGGACACGTTAACGTAATTCTTACCCTGAGGCAATCCTAAAATATTAGATCACTAGTCCGTGGTTCTATTCTCGCCTAGTCTATTTTTTTAAAACTTCGATTAACTTTTCAAGCATAAATTTTAACTTCGATCTACTTTTCAAACATATAGTAGCTAACTTAATGAATGCTAGAAAACAAATTGTAGCGCGTACTTTAAAATGTTTGGCATGAATTAATTGTCGCTTCCAGAACATTTTTCATTTCAAATGCAAAGTTTCACTAATTTTTCACTAACTGACCAATCATCGTTCGGCACCAAACAAACCGCCGATGACTGGGGAATGCAAGATGAGGAGTTCAGATCAGCTGGTTGATTTTTTTTATTTTTAAATTATTTTTTTCTTTTGTTTCTTTTTTTAATTTAATATTTAATTTATCTAATTAAAATTTTTATCTTTAATATTTTCTTAACTTTTATTAAATATTAAAAATTAATATAAAACTAACTAAATTACTAATCACTATAAAAAGACAACATTCAAAAATCATAGTAACATCCATATAATAAATAATTTTTTTTAATATATTTTCATTTCACCATTACAAATTAAATGAATATTTATGTTTAACAAACAAGTAGTATCATAAAGACATAGAAAAGGTTTCAAAATTTACAAACTTTTTAAAAATATATTCACTACAATTTCAGCTTTCTATGTTATTTTGTTTAATTTTGAAGTAATTGAAATAAATAAATAAAATATGGATAAATAAATGAATTTAAAAATATTAACAGGGGAGGCTGCCCATATGTTTTCATATGACGAGAAGAACTTTAAAAGTGACAATACGCTGCCAGAAGTATAAATCCTTCAATTTGTTTTTTTATATTTTCATTTTTTTTCTTTGGTTTATAATTGCAAAATAGGGCACTCATAATTGACATTATTATTATTATTAATTTATAAATTTTTTTTATTGATGTATTATTAACAAATACTACTGCATCTTTATATTCTTGCTTATAATTTTCAAACCATGATTTATTTATATTTTAAATAGTATTTATTTAAGAGGTATTTTACTTTTAATTTAAATGTTATTTATTCCAGTACACTTATTTTTTAATTTACAACTAATAAATTTGGGAATTGTAATAATATCAGAGTAACATAGTTTAAAAACATTTTAGATTTATTTAAAAAATTTTATCACAGCATCAGGCATCTTATAATAGCTTAAAATTCATCTTACTCAAATGAGTAAGATGAATTTTAACCTCATCTAACCTCATCATTTACTTACTTATTGATCTACTCATTTGCATCTTTTAAGATCAACTCGTTTGTACTGAAGAACAACTCGCAGCTGAGTCTGCCGGAGAGTTGGGTGCTTAGGAGCCAAATGTCAATTACAGCACCATCAACCTTCTCAAATGGTTCATCTCATGACTCATCTCAGACCTCACTTAAAAATGATAAAATCTGCAGCAAAATAGTGGCCAATAACCTCAATAACAGTAGTAGTACGAATTTTAAGATTCTGACTACAGCAACATCCCAAAATTGTAAAACATCTGGGGATGAAAATGCGAAGATGCCTCTTAAAAAAATGAAAAAGAGAATTTCTATTGGGGAATATATGGCCCTTAGATCAGAGCCTATTGGTTTTTTAGATGCCGTCGAAGCTGAACGAGCTATGGAGAGGGTTGGCTCTTATTTTTGGATGAATTGTTGTTGTCGTTGATGCCATTTTGTGAAATGTTCGTGATGTTGTTGGTGCTATAACGTGAAATGTCATGGTGATAATGTTTTAATGGGAACTGTTTGCTAGGTTGTTAATTCTATAATGTAAAATGTTAATTTTAGAATAAATTTATTTCAAAATTAAATTTAGAGTCGTTATCAATTTAAAAAAGAATAAATTTATATTATTTAAAGAAGTTTTTTTTTGGAAAAATTTCTTAACAGCCAACTTTTGGTTTACCAATGAAAAAGTCACCACAGAGAAAGCCTTTCCCTTTGTTGACATTTAATCATAATGGTACTCTATTTTATTCATTCATTTTCTATTTCAGTTATTTATTTTGTTAATACATTTGAAATCAGTACAAATTCATTTCTATGATATCTATGGCATGTACTCAAAACATTGAAGATACCTACTGATAAAACTGATAAATTGATACATAGATTAGTAGGTATAGATATACACTTCTGACACATCCACTTTGATATATTGATTCAACAACATTTCATAAACCCACAATACATCCTCACTTAGAAGAAGCCAGCAGATCAAACATGAACATGAGCACATCTTCTTCCTCCAACAACAGCAGCAACAACAACGGCAAGCATCATCATTCAAACAACTTCTCCACATCATTCAAATCCAAATCTTTCTCTGACCCAGTACTGAACAAAAGTTCCTCGGTTACATGCCAGAAAGAAGCTTTAAAAATGGACAACTGGTTGGCGAAGAAGCGCATGATCGAGACTTTTCCAGATGAAGATGATGTTTTCGGTGATGATGCCAACTGTCTGTTGTCAGTTAACAGCTCAAAACGTTCACATATGTCCATTAACAGCTTAACTGACGTTAACAACACAAGCAACATCAGCAATAGGAGTATTAGAAAGGTAAACAACAACAACGGCAGCCAAAAAGATAACAACAATATCATCAACAACAATATCATCAACAACAATGTTATCAACAACAGCAGCAGCAACTGCAAAAGCAGCAACGACGATGAAAAATTTTTTTCTGGAATTGCTGCAAAATCTCTCTCTAGCTGGAAACAAATTAGTACTAACGGCAGTAGTACTTATTCAACTGGTAGCATCAACAACGACGACGACTATGATGGTTGTGTTGATATGAATGGTTTTGCTAATAATTCCGAAGATTATTTGGAATACATGGAAAGCCTGGGTAACTACATGGTACCAGATTATAACTACCATTGTCGCCAGCTGAGTACCATCACTGAGGCATCAAAGGAAACAGATAAGACAGAATTGTCTCGACACGTGTCTCTAGACGGCGCGTGTCTACCGTTTCTCAAGGGTAACTTGAGTTTTCAGAAAAATTTTCTCACTAGCACCACCTACCATTATGACCTAAATGTTTGTAATCATAAAGTCACTAACAGTAGCTGCAATGATAACAATGACAATAAATATGATAGCATTAATTTCAATAACAACAATTACAAACACCTTAACAGTAACAACATTAAAAACAATAACATCAATAATAACCGCAACAACATTACTAACGCTAATAACTTTCCCAAGACATACAAAGACACTTTCATGATTGATGACACTGTTAATTCCAAAAGCAGACGTAAAGCGACAAACCATGGAAGCATCTCATTTTCTTTGATGGCTGATTCACACGCCAGCAACATGTCAGAAATGATAAATTCAGTGGATTTTAAGGGCTCCATCAGTAATACTCGTGAGTACGTTCATAGACCTAATGATCAGGCAGAAGTTTGCAATGTTTACGCCAGGGAGACGTCATCCAACTCAGCGTTGAATGCATCCTCTAGATTAGTAGCTGGTAAAAAAGTGAAGGGTGTTTCTAATCGCGGTAAAGAAAACCGTAATTTGGAGATTGATAAATTGCAGAATAAAAAAAATATTTCACCTGAAGATGCTGATCTGCAAAAAATGGAAGAAAGTATAAGATGGGTGGATCCTAAAGAATGTGAAAGAGGATCATTTGACTTTCTGAAACTGAATGACTCACACAAGAACGACGACGGAAATATTGACAACTCTGCTTACAAGGTTAGAGCTGATATTGTTAGTGGAAAGACACCAACACAGACTGCAAGACCACTGATGAATGCTGACTACATACATGACTGGCTCAAAGCATCTGCAGAGAAAAATGCAAAAATGGCATCTGAAAGTTTTTCATTAACGGAAAGTTTCAACTCAAATCGGGCACCTGCAAGTGTGGATGACGATCTGTCTTCAGAATCTTTCAAACTCTGCCGAAGAATTCACGTCATGAACATCGAAAGCATCGACTCATCACTGAGGACGAAGTACAGAGAGATCGCGCCCGCGAAGCCTCCTAACTCTAATGTTCCTGCTTTGAAACAGAAAGAAATTGTGATGCCCAACTTGTCAGTTAAAGTTAACCAAAAATTCAACGAAAAATCTGAGAGCCTACAGAAGCAGTGTAGTAACAACGTGGTGCCAGAAAGGGAAATTATGGGAAAAGTTGATGAATCGAGTAGACAGGCAGATGAATCCACACACGCCACGAAGCCTCAGAGAGGTGAGAATCAAGTACACGCAGTGCCCATCCAAAAATCTCCTAATACCAAAAGGGATATAAAAACTGACAATATTAATAATAATAATAAGAAGAAAAAAAAGAAAAAGAAAGAAAAAGAAAGAGAGTCGCAAACTGACTCACTAGACAAAACGTTGGTGAACAGCAGCCAGGGTACTGACAACTGTTTCTCCAGCACCCCCATCAAATCATCAGGGACGTTGACCAGGCTGTCGTCGGTCTCAACCATCCCCCCTGCTGACGATGCGGTCTTCGATCGGTTCGATCCTTGCTTCTTTGTGTCATTTATTATTTAAAGCTTTCATTTGAAAAATCAATTTTATTATTTCTAACTTATCAATTGAATTAATTTTTTTTTGTTTTTAATGATTTATTTAAATTGAAATTTATTCATTTTAAATCGCAAATTTACATATTTGATATCATCCTGTATACTTCTCAAGCAGAATGTCGTCCATTGGCTCGTTGAGCACATTTGCAAACAGTGACGGGCTGGCACGTCCCAATAGCAACAAAGGATCAAATCATCAATATGTTAATAAAAAGTTGAATGCTCCTGGTAGTGACGTAAATATTCCTGACGATGACGTCATCAAAAGAAGGAGGTCAATGTCAACGTCACAGATTGACGTTTGTAGTTCGCACAAGCAACAAAGAACTTATAGTAAATATCATTTAAAAATTTGTGTAGTTAAATTCTTTCTATGTCAATTCTATGTTTTGCCTTTCATATATAAGGAGTGTTGTTATAGAATGTTTGTACTGATTGTTTTTCCATGTAACATTCATGTAGGTTTTCAAGTCAACTTGTTTACTTTTTTGAATGGCTGGAATTTTTTATTAGCCTTGACGTCTTCTCATGTAAAAGTTATTTACTATTGACATGAGTTTTCATAAATTATTGCATTCTATATCGTTCTCTTTTAAAAAAAACTTTAAACTGCCAAAACCATATTTATTACATTTAAAAACTATTGTTATTTATCTAACCATCTTAATTATTATTTAAATTATTGATAATTCACTTGAAATTATGTTCATCTACAATGATTATTTAGTAAAGATGATCATCATTTTTCCTATCTTTAAGGTTGTTATTTGAATAATTTGAGAAAATTTGACTTTGTCGGCTATCAGGCAGCTATTATTAAGCATTTAGTCAGAGTTAGGCTATATATATACAATACATGCATAGGTACTTATATACGCGTGAATTTACTATATCAAATCATATACTCACGCAAGAATAATCTCCTTCTATAATATTTACTCTACCTACAAGTTTAATGATAGTTTGGTAGTCAGAAAAGTAAAATTTTTCCATAATTTTCACATTTTTCCTCCTTCTTAACAACCCTATCAGTCCCTTCATCTCGACTCCTGCAAGTGCCAAACGAGTTGCAGTTCAGCGAGGCATGCTGCTCACTTCTATCTTCCATTGCTTACCTTCCACTGATCAATCCATCTTACAGGTGTATTAGGGTTAACTTTAAAATTATTTCAGTCAAGTTGGCACTTTTCAACGGTAACAACAACAAAATTAACGACAACAACAACAATCACAAAAATAACAACAACATTAATGACAACAACAACAATCACAAAAATAGCAACAACATTAACAACGACAATAACAACGGTGCTATTAACGGCAGTAAATTTAAAATCTGTGATAATCCGTTTACCGTGAAGGAAAAAATTATTATAGAAAAAAAATCAGAAGAATTGGTTAAAGTTGGTTTTTTTCACTTTTTTTTGGCAAAATTGGAGTTTTTTGGTTTCCTTATATGTATAACTAAATAAATAAATTTATGTTTATGTATAATTTTTAAATTATTGGATATTTTTCACACGATTTCAGATAATTTTCACTCCAGAAGAGGCCGGCATATATATAGGCACGTTGTCACTGTCACTTAGTTTCTTGTCCGATGACGAATCCGTTTTAGCTAGGCAGCAGCACAAGTGCTCTCTTCACAAGCATCCCTATCCTAGCAATGCTAACAGGATGAATAATCTAAACAGAGTGGAAGAGAATAATAATCATAACAGTAATAATAATAATAATAACGATTGTTATGATGGTAATTATTATAGTTATAATAAAATAAATATGGCCGCCCAGTATGATAGAGTTCCATTGTCTGTCTGTCTGCAGGCTGTTGCTGTAAAACCGAAAATTGAGGTCTTTCGGCTGTTTTTTTTTACAAAAAGTTGACAGATTTTTAATTATTTAAAGGTTGATCATGATATAAAATTTTACGACAGATAACCGCAGCTCTAACTCCTAATCAACTGCGATCGACGTCATCATCTTCGTCATCATCACCGAATGACGTCATCGATTTCGGCATGGTCCCCTTGAAGACGACGATGACGCAGCGGATATACATCAGCAACAAGTGCCGGGCAGCTGTGCCGCTGAGACTGATGTTGAGAGCTGTGAGTTATATATATTTCTTAGGGATTTCCAAGTGGTTTCGTTTTTTTCATTGTATGTTCCTAATGAATCAGAGACCATTGATGTACATGTAATTTAGAAGAATGCTCAAGGTTCATATCAAAGTTCTAATTGTCACTTGTGGAAAATGACGACGACATAAATGATTAAGACCTGATGCCAACCTTCAAATTAGTTTTTATCGGATAGACATTCTCAAAAATTGTCAAATTTTGATATGTTTGTGTCTCGATAAAATTTCATGCCTGACCATCGCAGGACAACAAGAGCTACAACTGCTTTAAGTTCTGCACGCCTCCAGCAACATCGTGCCTCAGCAACAAGTTCAAGACGAGCGTCATCAGCACTAACCTGACCGCCGTCAACGACAAACAGATGCTTCAACTCGTCTTATCTCCATCATCTTCACACGAGAATGATCACGACGACGATGATGATGATTGTGGTCCCAGGGATGCACCTGATGAACAGTTGATCCCCGTTGATATTGAATTCACACCACCTGCCATTGATACAAGTTCGTCTTCATTTTTTTTTGTTTGAGTTTCGTAACCACTCAATGACCGTGTCTTTCCGAGACTGCTAGTTTTTGAACACAATCACTCCCCAGCCACTCGTTCAGATTTTCATGACAAAAGTTTAACTTATAATTTTTTAATTTCAAATTTATCCTTTATTCTGTTTAATTTTCAAATATTTATGTTTGCTACAATGTATTTTAGCAATTGTTATAATGCACCATAAAGTTACATTAAATATCAATAAAGTTTCATTAAGTTTCAATAAAGTTACACTAAAGTAACATTAAAATTTAATTCCAGAGCAGCTGGAGAGGTACGAATGTCGGTTGGAAGCGCAGTTGAACACGATCAATCCTCACTCACCCATCGTGGCGAGCAAGCAGCTGCTAGCAGCCAGTGCCCTGGCCAAACTTCACATTGAATCCAAGCATCTGGTTCGTTGATATTTTATTGCTGAGAGATTGCATGTTTTGATGTTTTGAAATTCATGTCATCAGCATTTTATCACCGTTGTCACATGTTTTGCTATCACTACATCATCACATCATGTCATTGACTGTTAATCCATCTAACAATACAAGCTGCTTCAACATAGACTAAGAGTGGTTTCATCATAATTTTCTATAGTTTCTCATTAATTATAAAAAGATCTTTTGAAAAAACGACATTTATTATCATTATTAATGATAACTATTTTAATCATATTGACCTAATTGATCTGTAACCTCACCTAATTCACTGACCTAATTCTAAACTAAACCTATGGATGTAATCTACTGACCGAACTATATCGACCCAATTCACTGAACTAATCCACTGACCTATCCTGAAGATTCTGACCTTTGACAAGGACACGCACCAGCACCAAGTTCAACTACGTAACGTCGGTTTGATAGCACTGAACGTCAGTGCAAACACCGAAGGGATGCTGTTTTTTGTGTCGCCGCAAAAATTCTGCATACTTCCTGGTTCGTTGTTGTTGTTGTTGATGTGTTGTTGTTTTTGGTGTCTTTATTTCATGGGTTTAGTTGTTGTTTGTGTTAGTGTTGTTGTTGTTCTATTTGGTGTTTAGTTGTTGTTTGTGTTGTTGTTTTTGTGTTGTTGTTTTTAGTGTTATTGTTAGTTTTGTTGTTTATTGTGTTTTTGTTATATATATAATTTATGAAGCGCCTATTTGCAATGAAGTTTAGAGTTTTTTTTATGTGTTAAATGATATTGCCCTGTTGCTACCATGTTTTGGTTTATTGAGCAACATTCAAAATGAAATAATCTTTTGTTAATATTATATTTAATATGATATTATTCTCATATTTTTTGATCTTATCAATTAGATTGTTGAACACAAAGAATCGAAACAGAAATAACAGTCTGCCATAGTTTTATTACTTTGTTATTTATTTTTTTTGCTCGAACCAAAAACCACAGGCGACACGCTGCAGCTGCAAGTAACGTGTCTTCTCCATCTGGACATCAACAACAACATTAATAGTAATAATAATAATATCAACAACAGCAGTAATAATAGAATTGAAAGGTTTTTTATTAATTTCATAATTCGTCATATGTTTGCATTTTTATTTTCACTTTAATAATTGTAAGAACAATTATCATCATCATCATCATCAGACATTACTAGACATTAATATTGATAATTTAATAATTAATCAATAAAATAATTAAATATTTAGCTGAATAAATTAATTAGGTAATTAATAATTTAAAAAGTAATTGAACAAATAATCATCGGATCGCTACTACACGATATATATCACTCTCCATCTATCTCAGCCAGGTTCTGCTTGCTGTCGAACCAAACAGTCTTTACTATCAAATTAAGGTCATCGCCCTTAAAAATAATCACAACAACATCAATAACAATATGAATAATATGAATATGAATAATCATAATAATAATAATAATAGTAACGCTGTTACCGGTAATGATCTTAACAATAGATATAATAGGTATGATGTTTTTTCGTTCGTTTTTGCTTTCTTTCATTCATTCATTCGTTTATGTATTGTTTATTTATTTGTTTATTCATCCATTCATTCGTTCGTTCACTCGTTCATTTAATCATTTTTGTATTTAGTTAATTTGGTAACGCCACACAAATACCACCACTCAAGACTCAAAATTGGTAACACCACTACACCCCGCACAGTTTCGCATCTGAGGATCGCTGCGCCACCATCGCAACCCTCTTTCCGGTTCACAGTACCCCCGCCATTCAGCAACTCCACCACCACCAACAACAGCAACAACTCATCATCAACAACATCATCAGCAACAAAATTCGCGACGAGGATGACGATGATGATGATGAGGATGGTGTCGGGGCCGTCTGGACTGTTAAGCCCTCCAGCGTTCTGCTCGTTGCCAATCCAGTTAACGGTTAATGTTAATTAATTAATTAATTAATTGACTAATTAATTGTTATTTGTGTTTATTAATTAATTTACTCATTCATTCATATATGTATTTATTTATTTATTAAGCCTAAGGAATGAATATTGTTTTTTTAATAATTGATTTTAAATATTCAACAAGCAAACGAACAAATAAATAAATAAATTGATTAATTAATTAATCAATTAATATTGTATGGAATAATTAATCTATTTGTAAATAATTCCATAAATCGTCATCGAAGGTGAGATGGTACATTCCAAACGTTTCCAGATCTTAAATTACTCCGACGAGACACTTAAGTTTGTATTTGTATTGCTTACTCTGCTTATTTTATGTAACAACTTCTAAAAGTGTTTTCAATTGCTTGTCAATATTTTTTATTCAATTATTCTTATCCAATCAATCGAATTAATAGATAGATAGATAGATAGATAGATAGATAGATAGATAGATAGATAGATAGATAGATAGATAGATAGATAGATAGATAGATAGATAGATAGATAGATAGATAGATAGATAGATAGATAGATAGATATATAGATAGATATATAGATAGATATATAGATAGATAGATAGATAGATAGATAGATATATAGATAGATATATAGATAGATATATAGATAGATATATAGATAGATATATAGATAGATATATAGATAGATATATAGATAGATATATAGATAGATATATAGATAGATATATAGATAGATATATAGATAGATTTTATGTAACAACTTCTAAAAGTGTTTTCAATTGCTTGTCAATATTTTTTATTCAATTATTCTTATCCAATCAATCGAATTAATAGATAGATAGATAGATAGATAGATAGATAGATAGATAGATAGATAGATAGATAGATAGATAGATAGATAGATAGATAGATAGATAGATAGATAGATAGATAGATATATAGATAGATATATAGATAGATAGATATATAGATAGATATATAGATAGATATATAGATAGATATATAGATAGATATATAGATAGATATATAGATAGATATATAGATAGATATATAGATAGATAGATAGATAGATAGATAGATAGATAGATAGATAGATAGATAGATAGATAGATAGATAGATAGATAGATAGATAGATAGATATATAGATAGATATATAGATAATTTGACGTAAAATTACAAAAAAAACCATTCCCACACCGGGAATTGAACCCGGGCCGCCAACGTGAAAGGCTGGAATCCTAACCACTAGACCATGTGGGACATGGGATACCACCCTCTTAACGATGTTTGAATGGTTATTTTATGTAAGTTCACAAAGGTTGAACTTGTTAGCGGTTAAAATATGGCATATTTGTAGAATTTTTAGCCTAAAAATAATATTCTTCAACATAAATATGATATATCTACCTACATTTACACCTTATATTACGAAAACCTTTTCGTATTATAATTTGTTTATTGAGTTATTCAATTTCTTATTTTGTTATTATGTTATTAGTTATTCTATACATAACTGATAATTCTTATTAATTTTCCTTATTTTAAAAATATTCAGCAAAATTATCCACGGGCTCATTTGCTATGTTTAAATTTTAATAAAATTTGAAATTGCGTGTTTCATTACAATACATTACAATAATTACATCGGCGTTGCGTTGGATCGGCAGATGTATTGTTGAGTGGATTGTTCTCTATTAAAGATTGTGTCACGTTCAGTGGCCACCAATCAAATTAATTGTTTAATTTAATCAACTGTGAAACAGAGCAATTGATTTTAATACAGATATTATGTGGAATGGCCGGAGGCGTTTTTAAATGTTACTCCAAACAAACATGGAACGGTTAATGCCAGGTTTAATAGAAACTTTGATTTGATCTTTCATTCTTTGCAGACTAAATACGAAAAGCTATTTAATTTATACGAAAAGCAATTAAATGTGTTGTTGAACAATAAAAAAAATGTGTTCCCACACCGGGAATTGAACCCGGGCCGCCAACGTGAAAGGCTGGAATCCTAACCACTAGACCATGTGGGACAATACTCCATCCTTGGTACATTTATCATTTTCCTGACGTCAAGAAACCGCGTTTAAATGTTTGGTCATAAAATCTGCACGCTCCCGCCTCCTATTGAGTAATTTCAAATTACCTACGTAAGAATTTTATCACGGGAATTGAATTATACCCATCGAACTGAACGTTTAGCAAGCATTTGCTTGATTGTGTGACCACTAGCATTCAATACTCATTTGTCATTTAACTATTATTAGCGTTCATTTTAATGATACAATTAATGTATGGCGTTGGCCTTGATTCAAAATAATGTTTACAATTACTATATGGCAAACCCAGTTTAAAGTTTCGCCAAATGGTCTACTGTTTTTAAGGCATTGAATTGTATATATGGTATTAAAAAATATTGATTCACCTCCTCCACCATTGAAATGATGACACATGGTAGGTCCAGCTGCATTCTGACCGTCAGTTTATCTCAAGATTTCTTCTCCCAGCGTTCATCTTCCACTGCCAAACTTCCCTGGCGTGGTCGCGTGACCGTCTTTAGCTTCGGCCAATTGAAGGTAGTCGGATTGTCAATCAATGTGTAATTAATTAAATTATTAATTTAATTAATTAGTTGTTTAATTTATGTATGATCGAGCATTTTATTTAACAATTTCATGGCATTGTCATAAAAACGTTTATTATATTTTGCATTCAATACTGTCGAGCCTGTTATCGTTATCTCTTAAAATAGAGTTTTAATCGTGTTGACAACCATATAAATCTTTAAATTTTTGTATAACAGCCAGCCAGTTGATTTGTCTGAACAAGCAACCTTCATAAATTCAGGTCATAAACGTTGAGGTGCTAGATCGCATCGCTGCTGAAGTAGCGCTACCGACTGCAACGACTCAACACAAGATCGTGGCCACAGATAGAAACAATACGCTGATACCTATTCATTTAGTTAACGTGTCCTTACTTCCATCCTCATCATCATCGTCGTCGTCTTCATGGTCCTCAGTTGAATTTCATTCTGAATCAGAAAATATTTACAGGTTGTCTGTGACTGTCGATCAAATCAATCGACCCCTTGGTTGGTGGTTTTTTTTCTACCATATATACCTCACTTGTATTTACCTTTATTTCACCACATTTTCATTACTCTCAATGATTCCACCGCAATGAGTTACACTGTTGTATGATAATGCATTACAATACAACAACATTTATTTGACCCAAAAGAGTAAAAGGTAGAGGTTGAGTGTAGGGACTTCCCGTATAAAATATCACGTCTTAAGTGTGTGTGTGTGTGTGTGTGTGTGTGTGTGTGTGTGTGTGTGTGTGTGTGTGTGTGTGTGTTTGTTTTACCGGACGGACTAATTTTTGTACAATGCAATCCAACTCCACCCGCAACTTAAATTAATGTTTTATATTGTTTTTGTTTTTAAGAATTAGTATCGCAGTGAGTGACGTTCTATGTTACTGTAAAAACGTTCGTTAAGTTAAAAAAAAAACAAGAAAAAAATTGTTAAACTTGAAAAGAATTTTAATGAATTTTCTCGCCGCTGTGAACAATAGATTATGCTTCATATATACGTATCAATCAATATATATATATATATATATATATATATATATATATATCAAAATTTCAAGTTTGAAATATTCAAAGTAGTTTCAGTGCGAACTATGATATGGCAAGGAAGGTAGGTTGATCTCGGCCTTATCTCTATTTCATTTTGTACCTTTCGATGCCAAGCATTCGTTCATTCAAACAAACAAAAGATAAAAAATGACGTTAGAAAATATTGAGATGCCTTGTTACAGGGTGAATAAATTTTTCTTTAAAATTTATATTTCAATTGATCTCTCTTCCAGAGGTGAAGCTTCTGATCACAGGACTGACGCTATTCATCGCCTCGTGGACCTTGTACCACGTATCACCAATCGTTCTCACCGTTAGACTCTCATTGAATGTTTTTTAGCTTTTCAAATTTATTAGTTTTTATTATGATTAATAATTTTTTAATAACTCTGCTCAGAAATTTGTTAATAATTTATGCTCTTGCCATTTTTTGAAGGATGGAGAGAACAAAGAAATGAAAGAATTCGTTTATGATGTTTTCAAAAGCAGTTATAACAAAGGATTCATTGAAAACAATTCACATAACACGGTAATTCAGATACAAATCTTACCTTCGGCATTTACTGTATCTGCGATGACCTTAGACAGATGATTGAAATGAGTTCACTGACCTAAATCAATACAGTTGTAAATAATAACAGAAAATATGAAATAGTAACTGATTTCACCGAAATTGAAATATGGAATGATTTTTTTTTTTCAAGTTAACGTTCAGAATGCAAGCTCCATCACGTCACCTGTTCATGCAGAGATGGGAGATGAAAGTCGAAACCAGTGGTTATGTCCAAGTCATTGTTCTCGATCTCTCGCTAGAGGTTTTACAATTCTAATTTGTATTTTTTCCCAATTTTTCTTTTTATTTCTGGTGTTATTTTTTATTAATTTAAATTTGATACAACGAAGGTTAAAGGATGGATGAGTAACAAAGGAAAATCGATGCTGATGTCTGAGGTGAGCGTGTGCAACATGAAACCAACCCGAAGTGCTGTCGACACGAAGGACGATGCAGCTCTTTTTGACGTTGGCCACAACTCTGCTAATGACGGAAAGAGGTAGGTACATCCTGGCTCTTGCTCTGTTTTAAACACACGCAAGCTAATTCATTAGCATATTTAAATATGTAAAATATGAATATGTAGATGAATATTTTTAATAGTTGTAACAAATGGGAGTCGTGCGATATCATTTATTATAGTTATAATGCGCAGTGATTGATAAAATAAAAAAACGTGTTCCCACACCGGGAATTGAACCCGGGCCGCCAACGTGAAAGGCTGGAATCCTAACCACTAGACCATGTGGGATTGTGATAGGGATGGTTCATTATCATGTTTTCTAAAGATGCCTAGAAATAGTTGCAAATTGAAATGAAGATGATTCGATTATGAAGCTTAGTTTAATTTATATCTTGTTATGCACAGATTTGCGGATGTAAATTTGAGAAACTCCACGTTTCAAAATGATGCTGCCAAGAAAGGATCTTCGTTCACCAGCTCCAATCAGCAATTAAGCAACAGAAGGGAAGTTCGTGTGTTTCCAACGGAGCTAACGTACCAAGTTGATGAGATTAACAAGACGTTCGTCAAGAAATTCGATATTCAAAACTGGACTCGCACAACTGTTCAGGTAGGTGTTTCAATTTCTAAAGTCTCCATTTCCATCCAACTTAAATTTTGATTCAAATTTGGCTTGAGTAACTAACTGCCTGATATTTTTATTATTTTTTTTATCGAGTTTTGTAAACGTTTTAACACTCAAATTTTTTTTTATATTTTTATTTTTATTTTCTATGCCATTATTTTTAATATTTTTCATTGGTTGTTTTGAAAATATAATTTTTTTATTTAACAGTTCAGCGTTATAAAATTTCCAATGGCTCCGTTTAGTTTCGACCGCACAGAATTCAAAATAGAGTTAGTATTTTTGCTCTTTTCACGGTGAATGAGTTATGTTTTAAAAAAAATATCTATAAATGAATTGTTGAGCATTTTGAAATGGAGGTGTTGAAATTTCAGAAGCAAGCAATACGCGAAAGTTCCTGTAAAAGTAACTGCGAAAGAATGTGGAACGTTCAGAAGTCAGTTCATCTTCAAATCTTCGAGCGATGTCGTCTACACCATAAATTTATTTGCAGTCTGCCAACAAACAGCCTGACTGATGTCCAATGTGCACTGATATTTATCCTTAATTTATTCGTATATTAATGTGTATTTGTAGGTCTATTTCTATTACGAATCTCAGTATGAAATGTGCCTCGTATGTTATTCTCATTTCTCCGTTCAATCAGTATTATGAAATGTATGAAGACTTGAAATGGTTTTAAATTATATGACGATTATTATGCATTTAACTCTTTGTGCTGTTTAAAAGAAAGACAATAAAAATCATGTTCAACTAATGTTTAATCTTATAACCTCGCAATTTAATCTGACGTATACAAGTTGTATTAAATTATCACCACATTCAACATCTTTAAGCAGTTTCGTTTCAATTTGTTGATATGAATATATGTAGACATGATAATAATTGTTTTTACACTTATTTATTCAAAATAAAATGTTCCAAAAAATCAGTTCAATACATTCAATGCCCAAACATATTTAGTTATAATGGTCATTTTATTTCAATTGAATTATTATGACGACAACGATACTAAAATGTTCCCTCGTTACAGTCAATATTATTTACGATGAAGACATTTCAATTGTAACTATCCCCAGCGAGCAGTAGTTAAAAACGTGTTTTTTTTTGTTAGAATAAAGTAAAAAACAAAAATCTTACACGAAAAAATAATAAGATGGTTCTGAGAAGAACCCTTCACTGTCGACGAACGAAGTTTCTGATGTTGAAGTAGTTGACGGCTAGCAGCGCTCTCCTCTTATTCTTCGGGCCAGCTGAATGTCCTTCGTCATGACGGTGACGCGTTTGCCGTGGATGGCGCAGAGGTTGGTGTCTTCGAACAGGCCGACCAAGTAGGCTTCGGTGGCTTCCTGTAGAGCCGAGACAGCCGAACTTTGAAAACGCAAATCGGTTTTGAAGTCCTGTGCTATTTCGCGAACCAACCGTTGAAAGGGCAATTTTCTGATGAGCAGTTCTGTGCTCTTCTGATAACGCCTTATTTCTCTAAGTGCCACGGTTCCAGGCCGGTAGCGATGGGGCTTCTTCACGCCCCCTGTGGCAGGAGCGCTCTTCCTGGCTGCTTTCGTAGCTAACTGCTTGCGTGGTGCCTTTCCGCCAGTTGACTTTCGAGCAGTCTGTTTTGTTCGCGCCATTATTTTCTATCCAATTGATAAGCAAATTTGATAATTCAAACCAACACAATGTTAAAACTACAGAAACGTGAATTAAATTCGAAAGGTGAACGTGCGCGCTGAACTTGTTATATTTAAGCTTGTTTATAAGCCGGTCACACGTGTTGGCACACCTTATGAAAATTACTCCTGCAAATGTCAAACGTTTGTTTGTATCAAGAGTGTTGTATGCTGTGTGCTTACGTACGTCTGTGCAATGAAAATTTTATAATTGAAATGTTATGATACTGTTAATGTAATGTGATGCATGACACATTCTTGACGGACAATACACTTACTAGTTTAATCAATACGTGATACGTTGAAGCCCGTACCATTCTCGTGTGCTGATAGATAATCGAATTGAAAATACAGTACAATACAATACAATACACAAATGGGTTATTGTAACGTGGTAGGTAGGGATCATTTTGTCATATTCGAACCCGGTTACTGCGAAACAGCACCGGGCGACCTTAACCACTAGGCCATCACGCCTGACAAATAGTTGCCCCTCTATTAGACATATCGAGACGTCCATGACTCAATTATAGTGTTGTGACGTTTTGACTTTTACCAATTATTGCGTCATTATCATCATCCTCATCCTCATCGTCATCGTCATCGTCGTCGTCACAATCACCATTATCACCACAAACGGGCTCAAAATTATCCGCATCATCCTCATCATCATTTTTGTTGTCGTCATCATTATCATCAACTTTTTCATCATCATCATCATCATCATCCTAATCATCATTCACGCACTTGCCATTTTTTTCACACTAATGCATCATTGCAATATTCAGCAGTAGTGGTTGTGGGGGCAGTATTAGCAGTAGTAGTAGTAGTAGTAGTAGTAGAAGTAGCAGCAGTATAGTAGTGGTACTAGTAGTAGCAGTGGTAGTAGTAGTAGTAGTAGTAGTAGTAGTAGTAGTAGTAGTAGTAGTAGCAGCAGCAGCAGTAGTAGTAGTAGCAGTAGTAGTAGTAGTAAGGGTAGTAGTAGTAATAGTAGTAACGGTAGCAGCAACAGTAGTAGTAATAGTAGCAGTAGTAGCAATAAAAAAGTACAGTAGTACTGAAGCTTAGTGATAATGTGATGATATACATTTTTTTTATCAGCCCCACAACATTAATTAATCATTCATGACGTTGTCATTGTCATAATTATTATTTTATTTCTGTTATTATTATTGTTGTTGTTGTTGCTGTTATTGTTGTTGTTATTGTTGTTGTTGTTGTTGTCTTCATTATTGTTATCATCGTGTGCTCACCATCTTCCTTTTTATATCATCATCTACTCTCTGCGTTATCATCATCGTCATCATTATCATCAAAATCACCACCATCATGATATTTGTAATATCATCATCACCAGAACGCAATCAAAATCTTTATCTCTATCATCATTATCAGTAACATCAGCATCTTCATCTTTCTAGTCATCATCTTCATCGTCGTCGTCATCTTCTTCTTTATCATCGTCAGCGTCATCATCGTCTTCACAAACGCGCCCAAACACCTGTGAGTAAGGTGTCAACATATATAAAAGCATCTTTGTATACAAACACACGCGCAAACTGTCACAGATACAAACAAATACACACCCAGACACATACATACATACATACATGCATACATACATACATACATACATATATACGAAACGAAACGATATTTTATTTGTTTCTCAATATTGAAAAATAATAATAATACATACATACATACATACATGTGCGTGTGTGCATTTATGTGTGTGTGTATATGTGTGTGTGTGTGTATGTGTGTGTGTGTGTGTATGTGTGTGTGTGTGTGTGTGTGGTGTGTGTGTGTGTGTGTGTGTGTGTGTGGTGTGTGTGTGTGTGTGTGTGTGTGTGTGTCATACGCGCGCATTTATAAAGAAGGACATATGGCTGATGTTGTTCGTTAGACTACCCGAAATTTTAAAATATAATTTTTGCTTGGCTTGGTTTACATTTAGGTAAACACAACAGTTGTTTCTTAAAATTTATTTTACGTATTCAAATGCATATTTGATTATTTTATTTATATTTGTTTTTAATTTAAAAAATTTGTTATTAATATTTGATAAATAATACAAAAAAATGTTGACTTGTATGCATTTTTATAAATTTAATTGGACTTTTGATAAATAATCTAATTCATGTTTTTGAAATTAAATTGAATTGGATGAAGAATTGTGTAAAAAAACGTTATCAAATATTTACTAGCTATTATTTATTTATCATCAACTTGTCATCATCATGGTATTGTGATGTTTTTTGTAATTCATGTTCGTGTGTTGTTTATTGTTGTTTATTGTTGTTTGTTTGTTGTTGCTGTTGTTTTTGTTGTCATTGAATAGCTTGGATAAAACGTAGATAAACAATAAAGTTAAAATTTTCAATATTCTTTCTTTGCTGGCAGGTTAGAAAAATGTATTGATGATTAAGCCCCGACGATAATGAATGCTGAATGAAGTTATCATCATTATTATTATTAATAGAACAATTTCACAACAAGGCTAATCGATCAAATCATTTAGGAAGACGTAAACACACTAATTATAACACAACTAGTTCACTAAAGAAAACAACGACATCTGTGTTAGGGCCATCATTGCAAGTAAAAAAAAACTACAAACAGCTGATAAAAACACGGTTAACAACATTAATAATATCACCTTCAACATCAACTTCTCATAACATCTAGCAGATAGAAGACAGAATTGACAGCAACAACAAACAACAACAAAAACAACAACAATAACAACAACAACTGCAGCAGCAACAACAACAACAAAAATAGCAACCACAGCAAAAACAACAACAACGTGACTTAATCAACTTATTCGAGTAAATAATGAAACAACAGTAAATTTTATTGATGAACATTATTGTCGAAGTCGAACAGTAAATATAACACTGATATTGGAGTACAACAATCAGTACTAACAAACAAACAACATCAAACAAACAAAAAACAAACAAACAACAAACAAACAACAGCACAAACAACACAAACAACAAACAAGCAAACAACAACAGCAGCAGCACAACAGCAGCCACAACAGCAACGACTCCAACCGACAATTTAATAATTCTCACAATGTCCATAGTCAGTGATATAGACGTGGAAACGGTATGCAAAAAAACAACTATTAGCAGGAAGGAAAGCTTCCAACAGAGAAGAAGTTTCAGTGAGTGTCTGTGTGTGTTTGTTAGTCTGTCTGTCTGCGTTTCTGTCTGTCTGTTTGTATGTCTGTCTGTTTATCTGTCTGTATGTATGTCTGTGTGTTTATCTGTCTGTTTGTGTGTGTGTGTAAGTCTTTTTGTCTATTAGTACACACAATTGTAGGTTTTTGTACGACGCCCGAATGCCTAAAAATTTTTTTGTGCACATGACACGTGTAGACGTGTGTCTGGGGCGATTTCAAAACTGTTGCATTGTGTATTGTGTATGTGTGTGTGTGTGTGTACGTGTGTGTGTGTGTGTGTACGTGTGTGTGTGTGTGTGAGCGTGTGTTAAACGAGTGCGAGTGTTTCGGTACGTACTATCTACTGCTGAAGAAATATTTTTTCAATAACTTATCTGGGACGAACAGAGCAGTACAAAATTCAATTAAATGATATTAATTCGTACGAACAAGCATCTTCTTCATCAGTAAGAAATATAAAAACTGAAGCAATAAAGCAACATCAGTTATAGCATTTATCTAGCGCTAAATACAATTATGTTTTTTGAGGACTTTAGTTGTTATAGCAAAATTGGAATAATTTCGTTTTCACTGTTTTTCACATGCCGGTTTTCATGTGGCGATGAAACTTTAGACTGTTTTGTATAAACACCAGCAGAACATGTTTGTGATGTAAGGATAACATCTTATCCTCAATGATAAAATGATACTAATGTTTGTGATGCAAGGATATAAAAATGATACTAAAACGTCTTAAAAGGATACTACTGTATGAAAATATTTTGGCGTAATTTCTGATGCGTTGGGAGTTGTATATTTATGTCTTTGGACGCATTCCATTCGCTTTTTAATGAATTCATTTGCAGTTTGTTTGGTAACGTTTGTGGGAGTTTGTTTATTTGTGCGTTCGTTCGTTTAAATTGGTTTGTTTTTTTTCACTTATGTTTCTTCGTGCACGTTTGTTCGTTCACGAGGGTTTTTCCCTTAGCGTGGATTTGTTTACGTCTAGAGTTGCTGAAGATTGAAAATTTTTTGGCTTCCGATGTTGATTTTAAATTGATCCTTTTTGTGTTTTGTTTGAAGTTTTTTGATTTTTTAAAAGTTCTTCACTTTGTTTTGAAACGTTTTCAGTTTTTCTTTCTGTACTGTTTGTTGTTTTATGCTCAGCTTTTTTCCAGGTTTTAATGAATGTTCGTCGGCTGGTTTTAATAGAAATTATTTGCTGTAACATTCATTTTCCTTTTCATCCTCATCATCATCATCCTTATCTTCATCATCATCCAATCTTCAACTAGCGAACAAATATGTTGATGATGATAAGATGAGTAATAACGAAGATTAATTAATGAGGTATGAACATGAATATGAGCGTGAACATGTATATAAACGTGAACGAACATGAACACGAACACAAACATGAACACAAACATTAACACGTATATGAACGTGAACGAACATGAACATGAACATAATGACGTTCATGGAGATATTAATTAGAAAGATGGAAGTGTTTATGAATACTGCTTCTGTTATTTTTATTTAAATTGCGACTACAGTGGAGATAATGAAGATGACGATAATGACGACGACGATGATGGCAATGATGGTAATGATAATGTGGAGTACATTGGTGATATCTAACAGCAATAAATTAACGAAAGTTGTGACCCCTTAGTTTCTAGCGGGCCAAAAATCATTTTGTCCTACCTGTACACATGTTTAAATAATTCTTTTATAACTAACAAAATCGACCACACAAAACAATCAATAAATTCGTTTTACACATAGCTTAAAACAACCTTTGCTCTTTCTGAATCAGTATCTAAAAAAGGATTTTTGAACTGAAATTTTGAAAGCAGGTTTTGTTTGCAAACATTTTTATATCTGTTGATTTCATCGAATGTTATAATAAATTTCTTGTTTATAAATATTGGCTCAATCAACTATTTCCTCTCAAAACCACGAAGAATTTTTACAACAAGCATTCAAGTTAGTTTCCTTAAAAGAAATAATTTGACAGTTTTGAATTAGATTACATTTACTTTGCTAAAATGGAATAATTTTAAATTCCTTCAGATATAATTGTAATGTTAAGATCTGCGTAAAGGTCCAACCAGTGAAATTATTAAGCAGATTGTGAAGAAAATTTTTTTTTAAAATTCGGTGATGTGTGGTGTAGCGGTCAAGATGTTTGGTCGAGAAGTTGAAGTGGCCGACTGACTTCGAATGCAAGCGAATCCTCCTAGCCTGTCGCTTCCAATGTGTGTGATCATGCACCAAGCCTGTGGTGTTGTTGATATTTCTAAAAGAATTTATTAAAAAAGAATTCATAGTAATAATAATAATAATAATTATTATTATTATTATTATTATTATCATCATCATTATTATTATAATACTTTAAAATAAATTTTATTTCTTTTTGTAAAAAAAAATTGTCACGAATGTTTGCAAAATAGCAAAATTATTTATAAAAAATGTTAGGCTATTTTTTCGTACAATCTTGCCACCCGCGGGCCCAGAAAAATAAAAATTGGGCCTCTACCAGATTGGCTATCTCCCTCCGATGAGAGTTATAAATAACAGGAAAGTCAAATTATAACAGGCTAGGATCGGTTTAATTGCGTTGTTGTTGCTGTGTTGTTGTTGTTCAGTGTGTGTATGGGTGAGTGTTTGTTTGTGTCTGTGTGTGTGTGTCTGTGTGTGTGTGTTTCTGTGTGGGGTATGTGTGTGTGTGTCATCATCATCGCCATCAGCAGCAAGATGCAGCAAGATGCACTAGCAGCCGACCTTTTTATCATCATCATAGTCATCGCCGAGGTCGTCATCATCATCATTAAACATCATTATCAATTCACATTCGTCATCATTAAAGGTTAAAGGTTCCTCTCTCTTTTTAGCATCATATAGCATAGCCATCACCATCAGCAGATGACGATTTCATCGTCGTCATCACTTTCTTCTTCTTCGTCATCATCACAATCAAAGTGTTATCGTCATCATCATCGTCGTCGTCGTCGTCCTCATCATCATCATCATCATCTTCGTCATTATCATCATCAACGTCATCATTGTTTATAAGCTTGCACGTGTTTATCGATTTTACATTTTTTTATGATGGTTAAAAGTTGAAATGCGGTGAATATTCACCACAGCAACACTTCGTCACTAATGATTATGGCGATAATCATTTGTGCTAAAAGTAAATTACAATAATAAAAAAAATTTTTTATTATGATAACAACAATTTCAATAGTTTTATTATTGTTATTATCATTATTGATATTATTATTATTATTATTATTATCATTATTTTTATCATCCTTATTATTATTATTATTATTATTATTTCTGGTGACTTCTGCTCTTCATTAACTCCTTCATGAAAGTTCTCGCCAACTGTGGCCGCATTTCATCATATCCGCATTTTTTTATTGTTGTTGTTATTATTATTATTATAACATTGTTTCATTGTTATCGTTGATTTGGAATTTCGACTGCTTTGTTGTAGTTGATCTGTTTGTTTAAACTATTGCTTCTACGTCAGCCAGTAGGCCAAAGATAATTATTCGCGAATGCTGGTTAATCAGACCTCCTTAGTTTAGAAGGAGATTTGGTTACTGTTTTTCACCATAGTCATTGTCACCATAAAACATTACCACCAATATTATTCCTACCATCATCACCAACTTTATGTTCATCATTATCTTTATCATCATTGTCGTCGTCGTCACCATCATCATCATCGCCACCATCATTACTATCATCATCATCGTCGTCGTCATCATAATCATCCTCATCATTTTTTCAGAGGAACGCGTGCAAGAGGTCAAGGACATTGAAGAAAAGTACCCCAACAAAATTCCTGTTTGTAAAATTTTTAAAACTTTGGAGGAATATTGAAAATTATATTAGTCTATCTTTACTTTTTATAATTAAATTTCTCTGTTTTGAAGGTGATATTTGAAAAATCGGTCAAAGAAAAGGTTCTGCCAAATTTGGATAAGAGCAAATTTCTCCTTCCACAAGATATGACTGTGGCTCAGTTCACTGCTGTTTTCAGGTTTGTGTACCCGTCCGACTGCATGTCTGTCTGTTTGTCTGTCTGACAAACTGGTTGTTTCTTTATATGTCTCTCTATCTGTTTATCTATCGTTCTATATGTTTTTTTTTCTTTCTCTGATAATTTGTCTGCCTGTTTTTCTCTGTCTGTCAGACTGTCTACGTAAGTGTCTGTCTATGTTTTATGCTCCTATGCATCACATCTGAGATCTGTGTATCACAAACACATGCATATTACACATAAGTTAAATGATGACTGTATTGCAAGAAATTGTTATAAATTTTTCAACTCAATGTGTTTCAAATTGGTTACAATCCTTAACATTATGAACAACATCACCATAAGCTTTTTCATTTTTTCATGTTACTTTCTTTCGATTGAATATTCTGGACTGAAACTTGTTAACTTGTAACTAAAATTGAGTTATATTTTCCTTAATATTCCTCTTCTCGCTTCGTCATTTCCTTCTCATCGGGTAAAAAACATGGTCAAAATTTTCAACGTTATAGTAAACTCTTTTTTCATTATTTTCTTCGTTTTCACGTTCAACTCATCATCTTTATCACCTTCACCACTATCATCACTTCAATCACCATCTAAATCACCATCATTTTATTTCTTTTTACAACTATCTGTATCTTAATTATCCCCATTTTAATCATCTTCACTCCTACCACCATCTTAATCACCTTTATTTTAATCATCTTGCCACTATCATCATCTTAATCTCCATCAGAGAACGGATAGGAATACCTCCGGAACATGCATTCTTCCTAATCGTCAACAAAACAACGGTAGTTAGTATGGAGAAATCCCTGAAAGAACTTTACGACAAGCAAAAGGACGACGACGGCTTTCTCTACGTCACCTACGCTTCTCAAAATGCGTTTGGCGGCGATGTTGTGGCTGCTGTGGCTGTTGCTGATGATGATGACGTCGATGATGAAGATGGAGATGAGAATTGTGAAAATGATTATGGTGATGATGATGACGAAAATAAAAACGAAGATGAAAGTGATGATGTTGAATGCTGACAATTTAAATTGTGACAAAAATTATGGGCTGATGATGAAAATGATGCTAAAATAGATGACGACAAGAATTATGAAGATGATGATAAAGATGATGACGAAAGAAATTTTGATGAATGTGGATGAATAGTTGATGGTTGTTTTAATTTTTTTCATTTCTACTCATATCAGAGCTTGATAAATGCTGATTGATGAAGATAATGACGACAACGACGACATGATGACGATGAAGAAGACGAAGATAGTGATCATGATCATGATGGTGCTGATTGATGACGTAATTTTCCAGTTCTTATGTAAAATAACCCGTTGTGTTTGTGTGCACGTGTGTGGGTGGGTGTGCGTGGGTGTGTGATTCAATTTTAATTATTGTTATATATATATATATATATATATATATATATATATAAATTATTATTATTATCATGCGTTTTTCCTATTATTATTCTTTTTATTATTAATCACATTTAGGGTAATTTATTATTCTCCTTACAACAACTTTCTTTCCATTCATTCATTCAGAACAGACAGTTGAGAGGATTTTTTTTTATTATTCTTGTTGTCGTTTGCAAACTATTATCACAACCAGCATATATAATAAAAAATTATGATTATTATTATTTGAATAAAAAAAAATTTATACTTTAGGATGATAATAATAGTAATAATAACTATAATTACTTGCGAAAAAGATTCATAAATATTTTAATTTAATTTCGTAGATGGGAAATTTCTAAATCTTTTAAATAAATAGCCCTAGAAACCACCGTAAACCCATTGAAAGCTTCTCAATTATTCAAAAGTTCATCTTTGGCATAATAAAAAGGAGAATTAATTCTGCAGAATATATTTTTCTGAAGGGAATTTTTTTCGCGTTTTTTTTTAATTTGTGTGATTTTATTTCATAATAATAACAAATAATAATAACAATTAATAATAATAAATAATAATAATAATAAATAATAATAAATAATAATAATAATAATACATAGCTTGGTTTAATATCTGAACGTATGCTATTGCTAATATGTCGTATTTTTTTATCTTTCTATTATTTTTCAAGTTGCATTGTATATATACCTACAATCCAGTTTTAACGGGATTCATTCTGCAAAACCTTCAAAACAATTTTTCAAATTTGTTTCAATTTATGTTCATTTTTTAATGTGTGTGCACTTCAATGTATTTTATTTTCATTCGATTCAAGTGCTTCATTTGGTGAAACAGCATACATATCGAGTAGATGCGTGTAGGTGGGTAGGTGGGTGGATATGTAGGTAGGTTGGTAGGTAGGTGGGTGGGTAGGTGGGTAGGTAGGGTAAGTAGGTGGGTGTTTTGGAGTTTTGTCTACAATATAAAATAAGCTTGAGTATTCTATTTTATATTATATATCATGTCTATTTTTTATAATATTATATAATATGGTTATGATTAAATAATATAATAATAAATATTTATTTCACACACACACGCACGCACACACACGCACTAATATATTATATATATTTCCATATACGTTCAAAGAAGCATAAATGTTTTAATGCAAAACGAAATTTTAACTCATCAGTTCCCATTGCCATGAACACACATTCACTCACTCACTCACTCACTCACGCACAAACAAACAAAAACGCACACGAACAAACAGGCAGTATCACACACACACACCACACACACACACACACACACACAGATTTGTAAGAACTGCTTAATTGCAACAACAACTCAGTCCACACATCCATTTAACCACGCACGTCGCAACTTCAAATACTTTGCGACATTTTCAAAGTTGATTAAGTCTCTATAACTGCAATTTTTAAAATTTACTTGCTCACGGTGGTTTTTATACATCGTGTTAGTATAAACGTAGACATATTTTCTTCAAACAAATGTTTTTATTTCACAAATGCGTGGCTGGCTACGTGCAGTTGCAATTTTCCAACTTGAGATATTGGAGCCAGAACAATAGGACACACGCAGATATATATTGCACAGGACATGCGTTGTTGTATATTGGTATGGTATAACCATTTATAGGATGAATGAGTCAAAGATAAGTCGCTCCACTCTGTCCTTCATATTATATTTTACAAATACGTCGTTTTAAAGTTAAGAGATTAAGAATTATTCAAAAATTCCTTCTCGATGCATTTGCGAATATGTTCTTTGAAAATTTGTAACAGAGTTTTAATACACGGAGAATGGTGAAGTTGTAACTTTGTAACGCGGAGGGCTGCAAGTGAATGTTGTGAACCCGTCCGTAACCTTCTGTAATGAGGTTCATAGTAAATGGCGCGTAATTTGAATTGTAATCTGCTTTCTGCCGGGAGCCATCAATTTTTGTGTGATACTCGGTCATGTTGAATCATTAAATAGCGATCAAAATGATCATGGTGCCGAAACACACACACACATACACACACACACACACACAGACAGAATTACTACACGGACAGTCACACACCTACACACTCTGACATATACACACACCCACAAAACACCCACGCATTTACAGTTTACAAAGCCGTTTGAGCCCTGTTTCAATCTAGTCGGTCATCGTGGCGTGTTTTTCTTCCAATTTCTTATGGATTTAATGAATTATTATTGAATTCATGAACTTTTTAATTATAACCCAGTTTTTAACATCAAACTGTGTAAATAATTTTATCATGACATTAGTTACGGACGTATTGTGAATGCAACGTTTATATCAACATCTTCAAAATATTAATGTCTTAATGTAATTTGCATATATGAATATCAATATAATGAAAACGTTTATATCAACATCTTCAAAATATTAATGTCTTAATGTAATTTGCATATATGAATATCAATATAATGAAAACGTTTATATCAACATCTCCAAAATATTAATGTCTTAATGTAATTTGCATATATGAATATCAATATAATGAAATTACATCAAAATATTATTGGATTAAAACTTTAATTCATTGTAGCTAGATAATTAATTATATTAATGAACCGTTAGAAGACATGGTGGCAAACTCTAGTAGCAGCAGTGTCGGCTACCGAAGTACCGACAACTGGTTTTTGTGTCTAAATTTTATAAAACTTATTTTCGATGCATTTGACTTGACAATTTTATGAAAATTGTTAGCACCCAGAAATCAAAAACCCAACAACGCAATCTGGTCGAATTCGTTTATTTCATTTTATTTCAGATCCACAATTTTTAAATATTTTACTTGAGAATTAAAACCATGTATGAGCGTTTTTTATTTCTTGAATATTTCATTTTATTCAAACAAGTCAGAGAGATAACTAATTTCATCGCAACTGTTCAATAAAACAATCTGATATACAAACAATAGTAAAATAAAACAAAATCCAAGATGAACAATTTTTTCCCCTAGGAATTATTTCCGGTTGACTTTGAAGTTTTTCTTGGGCGGTGGCTGCCAGCAGATGCACGTGCGATCGACGATGAGCGAGGGCCGCTTGTAGTGGTTGCTCTTTATCAACTCTTCTATCAGTTTCTGACTCACGCATACAACATACTGACCTGCCGTGGAAACGAAAAGTTTACAGGCGTTTGATTGGAAGAGAGAAAAAAAGAAGAGAGAGAGAGAAACAGAGGGAGAGAGAGAGAGAGAGAGAGAGAGAAACAGAAACGGAAAGAAAGAGAAAAAAGGAAGAGAGAGAGAGAGAGAGAAATAACAAGTCAGCTCAAGGAACGCTATAAAAATTCAGCAAACACATCCAAGAAGCATCATTGGCTGAAAGAAATAGGATGACAAATTTTTGAAAATCTACGTAGGAATGAACAATTGAAAAGCACCACAAACCATAACAACGGTACAATTATAACCAGTACACTACAGACAGAAAATCCCTCAAATGCTTATCCGTAGTTGGGATCAAAGTTTGTTAAAGAACATTGCCTTATTCAAAAATAAAGTACCATAATTTGACAAATTCATCAACTAATTACACTGCCACGCAAAATTAGATAAGAATAGACACATCAGACCACAGCTAAGTATAAACGAAAAATTACAAAAAATTAATAGTGAAAAAGATACGATAGATATGAAGAGTCTTAAAAGTACCTTTACTCACCTTTCCAATACTTGGTGAGGTTCATTGATTGGAGTGTTGAGACAATGTCTGGATGAGAAATGCTGGTCGATTCACTGAGGGTTCCACAGAATGAAACAAATGTTCCATTAATTTGTGGCATGCATTTACACTTTTATCATTGTTGTTATCATTTTCTCATTATACATCACCAATGAAATATCACCATTATAATTAGAACACGCTTGCTAAAGAAAATATATCACATCAAAATATTCGAATGTTTTCAAAATTTTTAAACATTTTATCACTTACAATAAGTTGTACAAAATTTATTCCAAAACTAATCATAAGACCATAATTATCAGTTATCAAATTCATCATCATTGCCCTAACCAACAAATAAAATCATCATCACCATCATCATCGTCGCCATCATCATCGTCGCCATCATCATCCTCATCATCATCACCACCACCATCCTCATCGTCGTCACCATCATCATCATCGTCGTCACCGTCATCATCATCATCATCATCGTCACGGTCACCACCCACCTAAGTTCTTTGACAGATACGGCACCCTTTCTATCTTTGAGATGTTCCAGCAGTACCCAAGACCAGTAGCTTCTGTAACTCAACTTGCCCAGGTCGGACAGGGGTTTCTCAGGGGAGCCTATGACCTCCTCGAGTTTTGAGAGTTCATAACCTGGAAATGTTTTGAAGTATTTTTTAACATTTTTCAGAAATTTTTTTTCCTATAAAAAATTTAAATAACAATTAACCGACCCGAATTTGTGGACAAAAATGTGTGTACCACAGCAAAAATTGAAATAGAATATTATAAATAACAATAAATTATCATAAATGATAATAAATGATAGATAATCATCTAACTGAACGCAATGAGAAACTTTCCATATCCCTTCCTCTGAAATGGAGGTAGTATCATGATACAGGCCAGATTGTTGCCATCCGGCGAATCCTTCTCCTTTTTGATAAAATGGAATAAATTTAGATCAGCTTCAGCAAATGAGGACATAAACGAAATGTTATAAATGAAAATGAATAAAACACAATTACAATGAAGAGAATTGAAAAGAGCAATAGCCAACACAAAGTTATATTTAATTTATTCAAGTCAATTTGATGAAATTTGTACATACATACTTGTTAGATCCCAAGCAAGATATATATATATATATATATATATATATATATATATATATATAATAATATATATAATATATAAATAATATATATATATAATATATCATATAAAATCACCCGAATACATCGTATGTGTATACCAACCATGTCTTCGAAATTAATGAATATCTTTGAAAAAGTTGATGAGACACACCATCAACACCATCGCACACACACACACAAACACACACACACACACAAACACAAACAAGCCACCTTAGAAAAGTACCCCACCACATGTGCACCGTGTCTGTCGACTTCTGTCAGGATGTAGAACATGAATGGCTCGACGTCGAAGTACAAAGTCTTGTGATCTAAAAACAGTTTAGCTAGGAGACAGAGGTTCTGGCAGTAGAGCTGAAGTTGAAATAAAGCAAATGTAAATATATTTACATATATCAGATATAAACGTTACGAAAGAACAGTTATTATTATCAACCCGCAGTTTTCGACCAGAAATTATTTTGGGATTAAAAAATAATTTTAAATCTAAGCATTTTAATAAGTGTAATCAATTTTAAATAATCTTTGACAAAATACAATATACACAGCTCACATACTCATAGTATACCAATTCCAAAACTAATTTTAAATTACACACACACACACACAAACACACACAAACACTCACATTTGCAATCTAATTACACAAAAACACATACACAAACACATACTCAAAGTTGTAATCTAATTACACAAATTTTAATTGTACGCGTGCGTATGGGTGAGCATAAACATCCCAACCACCACTGGACATAAATTACCTTGGCCTCCTTGCCATCAACTTCAAAAAGTGACAGAGACATTTTCCTGTAAATCTCCTTCCCGGGTGGGTACCTAACAACACATTCCGTCTGCATTGTGATGATGTTATTTAGTTGCTGTGGTTGTGTTGTTTTTGTTGTTTCTCCATTATAATGTTAAATGAGATATGAAATTCATATAGTATGTCAGTTTATGAGGAATAAAACGCCAAGAAACTTTTTACAAATCCGACACAAAACTTAAGCCAGACGTTTACAATGACGGCATGCACAAGACTTATAAGACATAGACCAGACATATATCAGACATACACCAAACATATGAGACACAGGCAAGAAACACAGGAAAGGCTTTGATTAAATGACCTAATTCAACCAACCAACCAACAAACCAACCAACCAACTAACCAGCCAACCAATCGACAGACCGACCAACCAAATAACCAACCAACCAGCCAACCAACCAACCAACTAACCAGATGATATCTGAATGTCTTCTCCAGCTTCATGTACTTGAGGCAGAACTCACAGACCCAGATCTTCGTTTGTTTGCCATACTCCTCAGGGTATGGAGAGAAATACCAGGCATCCATCTCGTACTTTCCCATCTGCACTCGATCTATGTATTTCACTTTTGTGATCTTTGGCAAGTGTTTTGAATGAATTTATTTTTATCTATCATCAGGTCAGGTATTATTAAACCATTGAATTTTAGTCTAGTGGTATTAAATTACTTTAAAAAGTAAATATTCAAAATAGATTATGTAGTTTTATATAAATTCGAAATTAATTTAAATTAATAAAACATACCTCAAAAAATACAGATGAATAAACTAAAAAAGCAATAACAGAATTGAATAACAAATTTTTGAAAAAATGTGATTATTTTAAAATAACTTATGTTTAAAAAGTTATATATAAATAAATAAAAATTGAAGAGGTAAATTTTTGAAAAAACAAATTCTTTTTTTTAAATTACAGCTTCATGTTCTTTTTCAAGGGCAGCTGTCGTTGGGTCCATGTCTGAATAACTCTGGTGGGAAAAAAAATTATTTTAATTACAATTTAATCACAAATTATTAAAAAAAAATAATTATTTATAATTAAAATTGAATTTATAATAAAATAATAAATTTACAAAATTACATATCTGATACTCTAGATTATCTCAACATCTTCTAAAATTAACAATTTATTTTAATGATTTAGCAGTTCATTCATATAAATAAATAATTAAATTTTTAAATAAGATTTGAAAAAAAACGAAATCGAAAGAAGTAACTTTTCTCATCATTCACTCAATGCTGCCATACCTTATTTTAACTTTCTTTTTTTTCAATTTCTACCTTTTTTCATAATTTTATCATTATTATCTCATAATTTTTTCAGAATTAAAATAAAAAATGAAAAGTGAAATAAAAAAATAAGATTTAGGAAAGTAAAAAGTCCCCATATACATACTGTTGGAATGTGATTCATCTCTTCGTATTTTCGCTTCTGATTTCGTGTCATTTTTCTGTCTGAATTTTTCTCCTCTTCCATCTCAGAAATCTTTGCGGCATTCATGGAAGCATTCACGTCTTTGTAGACATCTTGGACTTTGGTGAATGAATCAAACTTGTCGAGTGTTATCCACGAATCTAATCTACGATTACCTGGTACATTGTTTCATCTGTAGTTTACTAATCATTTAAACATAACTAATAAATCAAATAAACAATGACAAAAATAATATGAGATAATATTTAAATATTTAAAAATGCACCAAGTCAATTATTCGATTTAAAACACAGAGGAGACATTTCCGATTAGATAAGATTTTGATAGAAAAACAATGATACAAACATCCAACGAAGTGTACATAGTATTCCACCTGGCCATCCTTCTGTTCATCATTCCTAACTTCTATTACTTCTGCTGTATCTGTGTTTTTAAACATGGAAATTATTATTTATTAATAAGTAAAAGAAAAAGAATCAATTTTTATATCCCCTACTTTACTAAAAATAAACTTAACGAAACTTATGTTGATTGTCAATTGATTTATAATTTTATAAACTATAATTTATAAGTAATTTATTTAAAAATCATTTTTAGCAAATTCTTAAAATCTTTCCTAAAATAACTATTAAAAGATATTTAGCCAACTAAAAGATATTAAATCAACTAAAAAATATTTAATTAACTATTCTTAAAAAAACTTATTGCACTGCTCCGAATCTGAAAAGAAGTGAAACTAAGAAAAAGAGTGAATTTTTATGGCCCAGTAGGAGTAGAAGAAACCAATGTAATTTGCTTAGGCTTCTTAGCCATTTTTAAGTCATTTAGTTACAATTTAGTTAGGTTGGCTCAGTAATGAAATATTAAATAAAATTAAACACAAAAGGAACAACTTAACTAACGTAATCGTCCATCGGCCTTCCTAACTTTGTAGAAAGACCCGATCTCTATTATTCCGTCGGTCAAATTTCTTCGCTTTATTCCATTTGATACGTTACTAGGCTTGAAATCTGCAACTGACATAATTTGATGCTGGATTCAAAATGTCCTTTCAGACATCAAATAAGTCTGAGACCGTTCGTTTCAAGTTCAAAACAAGTCGAACCCGATAAACAACTCGCAACTTTTAAACAACAACACTACTAGCGATAATACGATACAAACATCGGCAACAAAACATAATTAGAATAAATATAACGGCCTTCGCTCATTTTTGACGGTCGAACAAGGAGCTTACTTCCGGAGGGAAATTGGAGGGTGATTTTTTATCGCCCAAGTCAAAAGTTACGATCGTATATTTACTAATTTCGGAATATTGCTTTTATTTAAAATTTCAAATTGTTTTAAAAGGTGATACTAGATGCTGTTTTAGGATAGATATTGCTGTATGACGGTTAAGTATCTTTTTGCATTTTAAATAAAAAAAATTTTTTGTGAACCACCAACAACACTTAGCTCATTAACTGTAACAACACTAATTAGTAATTAAATTATTAAACTCTAATAATTAAGCTAAAACTAAACTCTACTTTTTCTAATTACTAATTGAAATAAATAACAGATAACACTAACGAACATTAACAGATTAGACTACTAGAAACTACCAACCACTACACTACTACATACTACTACTACACTAACGACTAACAGCACTTGTTCCTAAGATCCTAAATTCTATTGCTTGATTGGTTTTAAAATTTGTATTTACAATGCTTAGGTCTGGGAATAAAAAATATACTAAATTAAATAAATATATTAAACAACTTATCAATCAATTTTATAAAATAAACAATTTTATTATTTGTTCAATTCAAGCTTCAAACTCCCCAAGCTAACTTGCAATTTAATTAAAATTTATTAATTATGAGTGATTCAAACTAAATTTTTTTTCATTTAACGTTTTACAAAATATTCCTCATTCTTAAATTGTAATACATGTTGTTAATAAATTTATTAAAGATAACCCATGACTTGTTAGATCATGATCATTCAGTTTTAAAGAATCCCCATCACCATAACCAATGAGGTTTGTAAAAATTGTACTTTTAATTTATTATATTTTATGCACTTAGAATGTTGTGTTATTAATTATTATCATTAATTTATTAAATGCTGTGCATACCTATGGCAAGTAAATAACATAATTAAGCATAGAAATAGCCACAATCAAATTAATTTATATATGCATGAGTATAATTTGAATAATAATAATTAAAAATATCGGTATCATTGAAAATGGATAAAGTCATAAATAAAAAAATAAATGATAAATTGCTAAATCATAAATTCCAGTAAGATTTTGCCTTACACCTACATTTTTTTTTCATTCTTATATTATAATAAATGTTTGTTATCAAATATATCAAGGATTGATTTCTCAATCCATGACTAGATTGAATGTCATGACCCTACAGTTCCAGAGGATCCCCATCACCATTAGTCAATAAGGTTTGTAGAAATCACCCCAGGCATACCATCAATGTTTTGTAGCCACCTTTTAATGTAGTGTTAATAAAATGACATTGAGAATAGTTATTTAAAACAATCTTATTAAAATTATTGAACAGGTATGACAAGATTACTTTCTTAATGTCCTAGTGTGAGGAAGATGTAAGCCATTTGTCCAAAGATAATCATATGCCTTATGCCCATACAAATGTAGTGTCAACGCGAATGATTTTTGATCAGAGTCAAATGTTCTAATTTTTTTAAACTTTTCCAGAAATTTTTCTGTTAATTTATTTGTTACATTAAATACTTGATGTGTATTTCATATAAAAACTTGATTATGCCAATTTAGTTAACTTGTTAAGCATTAATATAAAATTGACTCTACTTGTAATGGTGATTGGTATGATGATGATGATCCCAGTCCTAAACAGGGTTTATTATTCACAATGTCATTATGCCCTTTCTAAGTTTTAATAAAATACATGGAATATTGGTGAATGCATTTTATATTTTTTGTATAGATAATGTTGCAATGTACAATGATGATGTGAATTGCTTCCTTGTGTAACTGATGACATATAAATATAACTAACTTGAAAACATGGGAATGCTTTCTTCAGCATTACTTTCCTTTCTCCATCATAACCCTTATTATCTTTATTACAGAAATGGTCACTGCATATTCTTGCATTTTTTGATGGAAGCCATTTGAAATCATTTATTTCCTGTCTGATGCACTTAATCCAATCGTTTTGCATTTGTACATTTTGAGGAAATCTGAAATTTTATAAACTGTTACAGAAACTTGTGCATTTCTTAAGTATTGCTTTTAATAATAAAATGGTAATCCATGATAGCATTATAAATTATAATAGTCTACAAAATAAAATATATGTAATTGTAAAACAAAATAGTTCTATTCAACGAGTATAGGGATATCGTTACATTTATTTTAGTGTGAAGTTAATTTGAAAATAAACCTGTGAAAAGATGCATCAGAAATTTTCTCATTTCTATTTATTATTAATGCAATTTTTAATGCAACAGGTAGGCATGTTTGTGTATAGCTACGAAAATGAAAATTTACTTAAAAACTAAATTATTGTATCTGACGCGAAAATTAGTACAGAAACAAAAACGAAAGAATAAATGACAATATAAAAATTTAAACATTGATTGAAAGAGTTTATTCTAATTATATGGTATGGGCAATTCGTTGCGAAATCGTTGAAGGAAATGGTGTCAACAGTAGTTATTTTACTGCATTACTGCATGGTAGTTAATCAGCCGGTATAAAGGTTATATTCAATTCCTATCAAATAAATTTGACAAAATATACACAGGCAAAACTAAATAAAGAAATAGATATATACACGTAGTTATAATACATTTATAATGTTGTATTTACACATTCAAATTGTACAATTGTGTTATGGTGTAATCTCAAATTATTTTGAATTCTCCCAGAAAATTTTAAACGTTTTACTACACTATATATACTAGTTATTTTTATCAACAATTTAAAAATTTTATCAATAATTAAAAAAAAAATTTCAAATTGATTTCATTGCGACATCGATAATGATTTTTGTGACCTGACTGATTAAAAAGCATCAAAGAAAGTTAAAATAGGATGGAGAATTTGTTATATTGGGATATTCGTTTAAAAAGCGAGCAAAATTTTAATATAAAAGCGCTTATAAATCTATGCATATTGGCTCAGCTTGGCTTGGCTAGGCTTGGAATCGGATGTTAAGCAAGGTGTAGTCTCAAACTATTTTGAATTCTCCCCGAAAATTTTGAACTGCGTGCGTACATATATAGTAATGGCTACTGTTGTTTTTTATAATGAATTTATAAAATATATAAATATAGCGAGCAAAATATTAACATAAAAGCGCTTTTAAATCAATGCATATTGGCTCAGCTTGGCTTGGCTCGGCTTGGAATTGGATGTTAAACAAGGTGTAGTCTCAAACAATTTTGAATTCTCCCCGAAAAATTTGAACTGCGTGCTTACATATATAGCACTTATTACTGTTGCTTTTATAATGAATTTTTATTTTATATATATATATATATAAAGTGACTGGAATCCATGTATACAAATAATTAAATTATATTATATTAGATTATATGTTTATATGAAAAGCAATATAGCAGATTCAACCAGCCAACCAGAAAGTTTCGAAGGCGTTCGTTCGATGACTTCAATTTAGTACGGTTAGCATTGTGGTTAAGACTGTATAATAGTGCAGTATATACATTAAACAAGTTTTTTACTGATGCGAATGATTGAAATGATGAGAATGTATGGTTGAAACGAGTATAAATAGAGGAGCTGAGACAACATGAAAATCAGATCAGCATTCTGCCTCGCTTGAAGCAGTCTGTCTGATCTCATTTATTTTATATTTAAATTTTTTTTATTTTTATTTATTTTATTATATAAAGTTATATAGAGTTATATAGAGTTATATAGTGTTATATAGAGTTATATAGAGTTTGCATGTTTGTAGGTGGTTTGAGTGTTTGTAGGTGGTATTTTTTTAATTTTAGGTGGGTTTTTTAACGGTTGCTCATACATACATACATACATCATGTTTGTTTGTGTGGTAGTATTTTATGTTCTGTTTTACTCCTTTTTCTCTTTCTTCATGAGTCTTGAGTTAAGTTAAGGAAGCATAGGTAGGTGAGGTAAAAATTAATTTATTATATAGGTAGGCTAGGGCACAAGGTAATTTAGTTACATAGGTAGGTTAGGGACTCCAATTCTTTTACTCTACTTGGTGGTGTGATTTTTGTTTTGTGTTTTTTTTTTTGTTTCACATCATACATTCAGCAGGTACGCGGTGGTTCCTGGTTTTAGTGAGATTTTTATTGATTGGATGTGGTAGTATGCATGGTTATATAGAGTTATATAGAGTTATATAGAGCATAAATCCTATTTTCTTTGCCGACCGGTTGGTTTCTTTGCGGTTATTTTCATTTAAATTGAATAAATAAGATTTTTCCATTCATTTAGGTTTTTCAGGTTCATTTATCCAGGTTGAAGCATCCAGAGGAGTTCATCGTGGACGATCAGAATGGTTGTGATGTCACGCTACGTTCGTTCATTCGGTGGCAAAGAATGCACGCCCTGCTGGGGTACGTTTTACGGTTTCTTTGCGGTTCTTTTTTTTGCCAGTTGGCTGGCTTTTCCGGCGGGTTTCACCGCGGCTCGTTTTTCTATTTTCACTTAAATTAGTCAAATAAATAAGATTTTTCCATTTCATCCATTTTATTCAGGTTGAAGCTTCCAAAGGAATTCATCGTGGAAGATGTCAGGCTACGTTCGTTCATTCAGTGACAAAAGATACGCCTGGCTGGGATACGTTTTATTTTTTTTCTCTGTTTTTCTCTGTAATTTAACATTAAGTAAGAATGCTTACACGCACACGCACATACACACAATTACATTAAATAGCTATATAGGTAGGTTAGATAGGCATAATTTTAATTGTAGGTAGGATAGATAGGAAGCATCCAACACTAATGTAGTTGAATAGGTAGGCAGCGTAAGTTTATCTCTTCTATTTTTTCTCGCACCCACATTACACGCATCAGCGTATTATACACACACACACACACACAAATACATACATAAACACATATTAGTATTTGAGCGTTATTTTATTTTC